TGCTGGAGCTCGGCGTGGCCCTTCAGCGCCTGCACGAGGATGCATCTCTTCATCGCGTCTGAGAGCCCCACGCCTGCCATCTTCTGGCACCGCGCAATGCCCTCGTCGAGCTTCTGGACGTTGACTAAAACGTCCTCGTACAACTCGAACTTCGCGTCCGCCAAACGCGACCGCATCGCAAGCACGTGCCTCACGCAAGCCCCAGTCATCGCCAGGGCCATGGCGAAATGCAGCTGCGTTCTGAGCTCGTCCTCGTGAGCATCCAGGCTCACGCTCTCCACCTCGTCCACGTTTTCCTCGATGTTTTCGAGCAGGGCCCTGCTCCTTCGGTCTTGCGCGATGAAGTACGCCATGTACTGACAGCTGGGCGCCTTCGAGCGGCTCCTCTGGCCATCGAGCGGCCCCACTTTGCGTGAGATCTTCGGGTCCAGAATATCCGCATGACCTCTTCCAGCCGTTCGACCTCGCTCGCACTTCCGGTGCTAAATCATGCCTGTTGGAGATATGCCTGCAACTGCCGACTCGTCACCGTCAATTGGTCCCTTGGTCCACCAACTGGCGAACCGTCGGTGTTTACTCCAGGTAGGTCCCGACGCAGCTGCAGACCCACGGCGGCTGTCTCATCGGGACCAGGGGAAGCCGCGTCTCCGCACTCCGCGAACTTGCGCCAGGCGCTGCCGCGAGACTCTCGGTGCTGCCGAACCTCGCTGTTTCGCTGCCCGCGGTTGTTCCTCCTGTTGCGGGAAGGTGCAGGGCTGCCCGGGCCATCCGCCGCGTCCTCTCCCTCGGGATGCTCTCCACGCCACTGCGGGAACAACCGCACTGTGGCCCTGTTGCCCCTCTTGGGCGCCGTGTTGGCCGAGGCGCAGGGAGACCCCCTGACTGGCCGCTGTCGCCGCGCACGCCGCAGCAAGCTCACGAGATGCGCACCTGTCCGCGATCAAGCGAGTTCCGCTACCATGCTCGGGCCCCCCTCGCCCCGCGGCAGCGGGGGGAAGGAGCCTCGCTTCAGTTTTCGAGCCGAGCGGGAGGCCGGGGGATTGTGGAGCCCCTGTGGGTTCCAAACGATTTTTTACGATCTTTCACGTTGCTCCTCATCATTATTATGATATTTCCTCTCTCGCTTTCTCTCTCTCTCTCTCTCTCTCAATCTCTCCCACTCCCATTCCCATTCCCATTCCCAATACCATTACCATTACCATTACCATTCCCATCCCCATTCCCATTCCCATTCACATTACCATTACCTCTACCTTTATCTTTACCTTCACCTTTACCACTACCATTACCATAGCCATTACAATTGCCATTGCCATTGCCATTGCCATTCCCATTGCCATTGCCGTTGCCATTACCAGTGCCGTTGCCATTGCCATTGTCTTGCCATTGCCAGTCGCCACCCCGTTACCATTACCGTTACCATTACCATTCCTATTACCGTTAGACACTACCATTACCATTGCCATTACCATTAGCATTACCAACACCATTGCCATTGCCATTACCATTACCATTGCCATTGCCATTACCGCTGCCATCACCATTACAATCCCCATTCCCATCACCATTGCCATTACCGTTACCAGTACCATTTCCATTACCATTACCATTGCCATTATCACCACCACTACCACTACCATTTCCATTTCCGTTCCAATTACCACTACGATCCCCATTCCCATTCCCATCCCCATTACCATTACCATTACCATGGCCATGACCATTACCATTACCATTGCCATGGCCATTGCTATTGCCATTGCCATTGCCGTTGCCATTCCCATTGCCATTGCCATTGCCATTACCATTACCATTGCCATTGCCATCGCCGTTGCCATTGCCATTGCCAGTCGCTACCCCGTTACCATTGCCATAACCATTACCATTACCGTTACCGTCACCATTACCATTCCCAGTACCATTACCATTACCTCTGTCATTGCCATTACCATTACCATTGCCATTGCCATTGCCATTCGCCACTACCATTACCATTGCCATTCGCCACTACCATTACCATTACCATTGCCATTGCCGTTGCCATTCGCCACTACCATTACCATTGCCATTTGCCATTCGTACCATTACCATTAATTACCATTACAACTGCCATTGCCATTACCATTACCATTACCTCTACCTTTACCTGCACCCTTACCCTTACCATTCCCATTTTCCGTTACCACTACCACTGCCATTCCCATTCCCGTTCCCATTCACATTCCCATTCCCATTCACATTACCATTACCATTACCATTGCCATTGCCATTGCCATTGCCATGGCCATTACCATTGCCATTGCCATTGCCATTGCCATTACCATTACCTTTGCCATTGTCATTGCCATTGTCAATCGCTACCCCGTTACCACTATCATTACCGTTACCATTACCAATACCATTAGCATTACCCCTGTCATTACCATTACCATTCGCATTGCCATTGCCATTGCCATTAACCGCTACCATTACCATTGCCAATACCATTTCCATTGCCATTGCCATTCCCATAGCCATTACCATTACCACTATCATTTCCATTACCATTACCATTACCTTTACCCTTACCCTTAGCATTCCCATTTCCGTTACCACTACCACTACCGTTTCCATTCCCGTTCCCGTTCCCATTCCCATTCCCATTCACATTCCCATTCCCGTTCCCATTCCCACTACCATTGCCATTACCATTACACTTACCATTGCCGTTGCCATTGCCATGGCCATTATCATTGTCATTGCCATTGCCATTGCTAATCCAATTGTCATTGTCATTACCATTATTGTTGCCATTGTCATTGTCATTGCCATTGCCAATCGCTACCCCGTTACCATTACCATTACCGTTACCATTACCATTACCAGTACCATTACCTCTGTCATCACCATTACCATTACCATTACCATTACCATTACCATTGCCATTGCCATTGCCATTCGCCACTACCATTACCATTGCCAGTACCGTTTCCATTCCCATTCCCATTCCCATTCCCATTACCATTACCACTGCCATTACCATTAGAATGCCCATTCTCATTCCCATTCCCATCCCCAATTCCATTACGATTCCCATTCCCATTACCAGTGCCATTACCAGTGCCATTACCACTACCACTACCACTATCATTTCCATTCCCGTTGCCGTTCCCATTCCCACTCCCATTCCCATTACCATTACCATTATCATTACCACTGCAATTGCCATTACCATTACCATTACCTTTACCTTTACCTTTACCCTTACCATTACCATTGCCATGGCCATTACCATTGTTATTGCCATTCCCATTGCCATTGTCATTGCCATTACCATTACCGTTGCCATTGTCATTGCCTCGCTACCCCGTTACCACTATCAGTACCGTAACCATTACCAGTACCATTACCATTTCCACTGCCATTACCATTACCATTACCATTACAATTGCCATTGCCATTGCCATTCGAGGATTCCAGTAGGAAGCATTCAGTGGAGGGTTTCAGTAGGAATCCACATGTGGAGGATTTCAGTAGGAATCATTCAGTGGAGGGTTTCGATAGGAACCCTTCTGTCGAGGATTTCACTGTGAATCCTTCTTATGGGGGCGTTCAATAGGAATCCTTCTAGGGGGAAGGGCAGATGTGGCCACGTCGCATTCCTTCTTTTTTTTTCTCCTGGCGTCCCCCCCCCCCAGAAAAAAAGGAGAAGGATGAGGAGGAGGAGGAGGAGGAGGAGGAGGAGAAGGATGAGGAGGAGGAGGAGGAGGGAGGAGAGGATTTTCATTCCCCCCCCCCCCCCCGAAACAAAAAAGAAAAACAAAAAAAAAAAGGCGGATCCGCCCAGTTTTTTTTTTTTTGTTTCTCCTCGGGGGGGGGGGGGAGGGGGCCAAACAACGAAAATGGTATTGTTCCTTTTGGAGGAGGAGGAGGAGGAGGAGGAGGAGGAGGAGGAGGAGGAGGAGGAGAGAGGAGGCCGCCACAGAGCACGCATATCTCATTGAAATAGACGCGCGAACTCAGTGTGAAAGCCTCGCTTTGGCGCCTTCGACCCCGAGGGGTTCCACAATCCCCCGTTCTCCCGAGCGGGGGGTGTCAGGATTTCGGGCTCGCCCCCCTACACTCTAGATTACGCCATAATCATGTCAGCGAGAAGAACAGATATGTCCTCAGCTTTTGGGCATGGGAAAAAAACATGTGGTGTAAACGTTGTGGGACGGGCGTGTGCGCATACAGAAGCAGGCAACGCTCAGGCCGACCACGGGCGGGGCGAAGATCCAGAAACTCCAACCTTGTCACCAGTAGGCCACGGGCGCCCACCGCGCGCAAACCCAGAAAACCCCGCCAACGCACGGGGCGGCCACGAGGCGGCTAAACCGCGCGAACACCCGAGGAACCCGTCCGATGGTCTACTCAAGACACAGAACATGCACCCACTGTTGAAGAGCCAACCTCTCGGAGGTCCGCATCCCTGCGCGAGCCAGGAGGGTGCAATACATCGACGCTGTGCCCAGCCTGGGCTCGGACAGAATCAGGGGACCACGGGAGGAAGACTGTGGGAGTCTAGAGGCATTCTAGATGGGATCCGAGTAGATGGGGTCAGAGAATCGCGCCGCATCGCCAGCGACATGGGCGATGCATCGGCGACGTCGGCGCGGAGAAAATCGGGCTCCACATCGAGCCGCATCGCCGATGCATCGGCGATGCGGCGTTATCGCCCCATCTACTCCGGGACGACTTAGCAGGCCTAAAAAGAGTCGGAGCAGTGGGAGCTGAGATAACGGAAGCTCCAAAATCAGTCCCCGGACCCCTCCCGGGAACCAAACGCACCAATGTCCCGAGTTGCGTCCAGCCGTGGTGACGAGGGGGCCCGCTTCAACTCGCCCCTGCCCTTCAGGGAGAAGGGAGGAGAGAGAGGCTGGCCAGGCGAGGCGCAGAAGGACCAGCCTGGATGGGGCCAGGACGCGCCGACGAACGGCATGCGTCGGCAAAGCGGCGCCTCTGGCGGCGCGACCGCTGCCTCACGTCTGCCTCCCCATGCCGTTGGGCCTGGCGGCGGCTGGGCCCAGCTTCGGCAGGCTCTCGGCGCCAGCGTCTCCATGGCCCCAGTCTGGGAGGAATCTCGATGGCATGATCTTCTCGTCCATGCAGGCCGACATGCAGACGACAGCCTGGCCAATGACCTCTCCCTCCCTATTGCAGAACTCGTCGCCCATGATGGGGGCACCGACCGCCCTTACGCTGAAGCTCAGGTGCAGATCCTCCGATGAGCCATGCCGCAGCGCCTCGTCGAGGTCGCTGGCGGGCAGATCACCTCGGCCTATCAGGACATGGTAGGGAGAGGTCATCTCCAGATTACCCTCCACTGCGGCCACCACCCGGATCCCGAATGGCCCGCGCAGGCTGCCGACACGGCCCTCAGCCACCAGCTCCCCGGCGTCCGTCAGCGAGCTGACGCCGCCGAACAGGCCCCAGACCCCGGGGATGCTGCCGGGCACCCAGCTGTCCGGCGCCCCGCCCCGCAGCGCGGGCAGGCTGCTCTCGGCCTGCTCGCCCTCGAGGGCGGGGGAGATGGTCACATACCTGTTGGCGGCGCGCAGAGGGGGGTAGGGGGAGGGGGGAGGGCTTCTTAGAAGCACCCCTGCCTCTTAGAAGGTGCGGGCATTCTCTGTAGATGTAAGGCCGGCGCCTTCTGAGAAGCAGCCTCCTTCCAAGAAGCCCTCCCCCATCCCTTCCACCCCTTTGTGCGCGCCGCCAAACCTGATCCTGCGCTCCGTCCAGAGGTCTGGCAGGGAGAGCCGAGGAACAAAAGGCTGCAGCGCCAGAAACTGTCGGATCTCCGCGCGGATTTCCCAGCGATGGCCCGCTCCGCGCGCCAGGGATCTAAGAGCGCGCAGAGGGGTCGATGACGAAGTGGTCGGGAACCAACTGAATGCAATCGCTGGGATCAGAAATGGTTGCAATGCAATCGGCTGTAAAGCGGTTGCAATGGAGCTGTTTGTCGCTAGAATGTTGCAATGCTATCGTTTGTCGCTTAAGCGGTTGCAAAGCAATGGTTTGCGCAAGGCGTCTGCCCAACGAATTTTGGCACTAGTTACCATCTCGCAACAGGTGGCGATCTTCTGGGGTATCCGTTTTGTGAAACACTCGACAGAAGCAGCAAACGATTGCATTGTAATCGCAAGCTGAACCAAACACATGACTGCCGCACCCACATCCACGCAGGAAACATCATAATCGCAGTTGATGTTAGAAAAGTCCGGATGCACCTCACATTCGGGCTCCCCGACTCTTTTTCTAAATAGTTCTCTGCGCTCATCAGACAGGATGGGGGTCCAACGCCGATCCAGGAAATCCGCGCGGAGCTCCAGAAGTCTGTGTCTATGCCGCTTCCTGATCCTCGAGAGAGGCTGATCAGGCGCAGGCGCCACTTCGGCCAGAAGAACGCCCTGCTCAGCACCTGAAGGCTGGCGACCCCGCGCTCGCGCTCGCCCGCGCCAAAGTTCACGCGCGGAGGCCGGCGCAGACCGCAATAGCTCCGGCTCGCACCGCGCACCTGGCCCTCCACGCCCTGGGCGATCTTCTCCGCGGCGCCCAGGACGCCCTCGATGGGTCTCGCCACGACGCCGATGACGCCCTGCGCCGAGCCCTTCACGAGGCCCACGGCGCCGTTTTCGTCCCAACCCTCGAGGGGCTGCTCCACCAGGCCCGTCAGCGCCTCTGTGAAGCCTCCGGCCAGGGAGGCCAGGCTCATCTCGATGCCCTCTCCGATGCTCTCGGCCCTCTTCTCCTCGCCGATGGGTCCGCCCGCGACGGTCCCCAGGGCGTCCTTCACCTAGAAGAAGAGCAACATGCGTAAACATACTTTCCGAGGCTCGCGCGGATTGCTTGGATCCCCCTCCCTGGCGCGCACAGCGCGCAAGGGGCAGCGCCGGAGGCACCGCCAGGGGTGCCCAGTGCCGATCCACAGAATCCGCGCGGGCCTCGGACATGCTCAAGTTGATGCCGTGTACATTCCCAGGCCGAAAGTGTTTTCCTCTTGGACTGAACATATGAGAACATCAATGAATCCAATTGGATCCCTTTTCGGGTGTGGGAGAGTTTCGTGGATTCCGCCGACCCCTTGGGGATCATCGGCGTGTGAGATGCTTCCCCCTCCCCAAACCCCTCCCCCGGGAACCCGGTCCGGTCGATTTGGAGGGGGGGGGGTCCGGGACGAGCGGGGGGGTCCGGGACGAGCGCAGCACGGCCGGGACGAGCGGTTCACGGGGCTTTTCCGGGCCCAAGAGGGCCTCAAGACGGGCCAAGAAGCCCCCAAGAGGCCTCCAAGACGGCCCACGAAGGCCCCGAGACGCCAAACGACCGCTCCAAGACGCCCAAGATGGCCCCAAGACGGGCCAAGAGGTCTCCAAGACGGCCCCCGAGGTCCCAAACAAGCCTCCCAAGAGGGCCCCAAGAGTCTAAAATTGTTGATTTTCCATGGTGTTTTTCGATGTTTTTTGCTTTTCCGCCTTTTCGGCTTCCCGACGCTCCAAGACGGCCAAAGAGGCCCCAAAGACAGCCCCAAGATGGCCCAAGAGGCCCCCAAGACGGCCTCCAGACGGCCCAAGACGGCCCCAACACGGCCCAAGAGGTCCCCAAGACGGCCCAAGAGGGCTCCAAGACGGCACCAGAGGGGCCCAAGAGGGCGACCAAACATGTTGAAACTCTAGCTTTCTGCCCCCAGGAGCCCCAGGGGGCCCCAAGAGTGCCCCAAGAGGCCCCCAGAGGCCCTCACGAGGCCGCCCAGACGCCCCAAGGAACCCCCAAGAAGCACCCCAGAGGCTCCGAAACGGCCCCCAAGTGGCTCCAAAACTCGCTTCCAGAGGCCCCCGAGAAGCGATCCGCGAGATCCCGATACACATACAAGAAGCCTCTCACCCATAACCCATAACCCAGAGCCGTTTCTCCGTGTCCCCCTTCTCCTCCTCCTCCTTTTCCTCCACCTGGGCCCCCAAGTGGTTCCAAACTGCCTGCCATAGGCCCCATGCCGGCACACCCTTTGCACGCGCCGTGGCCTCGCACATGGCCAAGTTGACCCATCATGACTCCTGGGCAGTCCCCCCAAAAAACTCCCGACCGCTACCGAAACGGCTCGAAGACATTCCCGAGCCCAACCTGGCTCCATTATGCCTCTCAGATAGCCCCAGATGAGACCACGACCGCCCGCGGTGTCGCCGTCCGCTCGGACCCCCCCGCGGAACTGCCCGAGACCCTCTGGTGGTGGCGGCGAACAGACACCAAACAAATATCACTCGCCTTTTCGCCCCTTCGCAGCTTCTACTACCCCCAGATTGGCATAAACAAGGGGTCGGCGGTGTGGCGTAAGCCTAAGAATCTATTTCTGTGCTGCGCAGATCAAATTTCCTGTGTGAAAAAAAAAAACGCTGGATCCATTTATGTCCCCGGAAATAAATCTATGGGGGAGGGGGGTCCTCCCAGGATGACGACGAGAAGGATGAGGGAATAGGCAAGAGGAGGTGGGAGGATAACCAAAGGGGACGCAGGGTGGGGAGAGAGGAGGAACAAACAGGGAAGGAAGGGGGGGGGGAGGAAGGAAAAGGAAAAGGAGGAGGAGGATGAGGGAGGATGGACGAAAGAGGAGGGATGCGGACGGACGAAGGAGGAAGGAGGAGGGGGGAGGTGGGAGGAGGAGGGGGGGAGTGGGAGGAGGAGGAGAGGAAGGGATGAGGGAGGGCGAGGACACACAAGCAAGGTGTCAAAGTCGGAAGTTCGAGCGCCACAGCGGGCCCTGCCACTTCCCTTCGCTTCTCCCATAACATGTGGTTGCTCGAGCGCCACAGCGGGCCTGGCCATTTCCCGAAAAAAAAAAAACCTCCCATAACAGAAGTTTGCTCGAACGCCACAGCGGCCCCCGCCAACTCCCGCATCCCCACCCATAACATACTTACCCCACCTCGAAGCGAACGCTCCATGTATCCGCTCACCTGAAAGGCGCGTCGTTTCCGACCAGTGGGGCTCCACAGGAAAATCTGTCGGCCTGCGTAGGTGGGATTTCGAACTGCGTCTCCCCCGCCAACACTTGGTGCGAGGAAGTGCGAGAGGGGTGCTAAACCTTTCAGTGGGATTTCGAACTGCGTCTCCCCCGCCAAGAGTTTGTGCGTGGAAGTGCGAGAGGGGTGCTAAATCCTTCGGTGGGATTTCGAACTGCGTTTCTACCGCCAACGCTTGGCGAGTGGAAGTGCGAGGGTGGTGCTAAATCATTCAATGGAATGTCGAACTGCGTCTCCCCCGCCAACACTTGGTGCGAAGAAGTGCGAGAGGGGTGCTAAACCTTTCAGTGGGATTTCGAACTGCGCTTCCCCCGCCAACACTTGGTGCGTGGAAGTGCGGGAGGGGCGTTCAATCCTCCAGTGGGATTTCGAACTGCGCTTCCCCCGCCAACACTTGGTGCGTGGAAGTGCGGGAGGGGCGTTCAATCCTTCAGTGGGACTTCGAACTGTGTCTTCCCCGCCAACACCTTGTGCGTGGAAGTGCGAGAGGGGTGCACAACCCTTCAATTGGATTTCGAACTGCGCCTCCCCCGCCAACACTTGGCGCGTGGAAGTGCGAGAAGGTGCTAAACCCTTCAATGGGATTTCGAACTGCGTCCCTCCCGCCAACACTTGGTGCGCGGAAGTGCGAGACGGGTGCTAAATCTTTCCATGGGGTTTCGAACTGCGTCTCCCCCGCCAACAGTTGGTGCGTGGAAGTGCGAGAAAGGTGCCAAACCCTTCATCTCCAGGCCGGAAGTTTTTCCACTTGGACTAAACAGATGAGAACATAAATGGATCAAATGTGATCCCTTTTTCGGGTGTGGGTGAATTTCGTGGATCCTGTTTATGTGCTGCGCGGATCAAATTTCCTGCGTGTGAAAAACAATGGGTCCGTGTATCTTCCGGGGGTAATCTATAACCATAACTAACATCGGGGACCCAAGGGATATGGGATCCGCGGGGCACCGCAAGTGAAGCATCATGCTATCCACGAAGCTGTGGGTCTGCAGACCAATGCTAGGATTATTCGGGGGAAGGGGGGTCTTCCCAAGTTTTCGAGGGGAAGGATGAGGGAATAGGCAAGAGGAGGTGGGAGGAGAACGATAGGGGCCGCAGAGGGGGAGAGAGGAGGATCAGGGAAGAGAGGGGGGGGAGGAAGGAAAAGGAGAAAAAGGAGGAGGAGGATGTGGGAGGAGGGAGGAGAGAGGAGGGAGGCGGACGGACGAAGGCGGAAGGAGGAGGAGGAGGAAGGAGGTGGGAGGAGGGGGGGGGAAGTGGGAGGAGGAGAGGAAAGGATGAGGGAGGGCGAGGACACACAAGCAAAGTGTCCAAGTCGGAAGCTCGAACGCCACAGCGGGTCTGGCCACCTCCCTTTCATTTCTCCCATAACATGTGGTTGCTCGAGCGCCACAGCGGGCCTGGCCATCTCCCGAAAGTCCTCCCGTAACGTAGGTTTGCTCGAACGCCACAGCGGGCCCGGCCAACTCCCGCATCTCCACCCATAACAGATTTACCCCACTTTGAAGCGAGCGCTCCATGTATCCGCTCACCTGAACGGCGCGTCGCTTCCGACATGTGGGGCTCAAGAGGAAAATCCTTTGGCCTGCGTAAATCTCTTTCGAACGTTGCACCGAGCCGGAAATAGTGGCCACCGAGCCCACCACGCCGCCGACCGTGCCCCCAACCAGGTCCTGGACCCCGGAGCCGACGGTCGAGCGCTCGCCCTGCAGCTCCTGAATGGACTTGACGAAGAACTGCTCGAAGCCCTCTGTCACGTCGTGGAACAGGCCCGCCGGGTCGCCGAGCACCTGCAAGGAGCCCAGGACTCCGGCCACCTGCCACTGCAGCTGCTTGACGTAGTGCTTCGATATGGCGCTCACAAGCACCGCACTGTTCTGCGGGTCGATGCGCTTGTCCAGCTTGCTGAACCTGAAGCGGGGCGACGCCTCGGCGAACGTCGTGGCCAGCTTGGCGACGAAGGACACGATCGCACGAGGCCCAGGCGAGAGCCTGGCAGAAAGCCGAAGCAGCTGCTTCTCCAAGCCCACGCCGTCGTCGTCGTCGTCATCTGAGCCCCTCTTCTGGCGCTTCTTCAGGACCAGCCCAGCTTCCAGCACGATCGGCATCACCACCAGTCTGCCAACGTAGCAGATGACCATCCCCCCCTTCCGCGGCGCGGATATGCCCCTGCGCATGACCTTCAGCAGCGCCTTGGCGGCGGTCTGGGCGGTGCTGGCCTCGCGCAGGTCCAGCGCCTTTGTCCAACTCTCCAGGCGCAGCGCGATGGAGAGCAGCCGGCCCACGTCCAGCCTCGGTGCCTCCAGCGGCTGCAGGTTGATCGCCACGTTCTGCAAGTTGACGAGCTGCCGCTCCGAGTCGTAGAGCGCATTTTTCAAGAGTCGCGGGCCCCGCACGGCGATCCTCAGCAGCGGCTGGGCCCTGAAGCCGCTCAGCTCGGCCTCTGGGCTCTGCTGGGAGTTGAGGCCGCTGGCGGCAGGGCCGAAGATGGTGCGGCCTTCTCCGAACTCGTCGACCTGCAGGTTGTGCACTTCGAGCGTGGCAGTCTTCTCGTTCGGCACCTTCTGGATCTGCACGTAGTCCACGGTGATGCCAAGCAGCTCTTGAGGTGATGGCAAGAACGTGTCCACAAGGCAGACGTGGAACCCAGCTAGGAACAGGTCCAGGTGAAGGCCGTTCAGCGCGGAGCTGATCCCGACGCTCTTTGCAGATTGGCAGAGGGCTGCCCTGTCTCGAACACGGCACCTGGGCGCGCTCTCGTCGTGGTCCCGGATCGAGAGCACCCGCTGGCCGCCGGTCATGTTGAACTCCACGTCTAGGAGCAGCCGCTTGCCAGGCAGCGTCAGGCCCTGCTTCTGCCCGACCCCAGACGTGTCGTCCATGTCGTACCTGACCACGAAGTCACTCCCGGCGCCAAGGATGCGTCCGCGCAGGTCCCTCGGAGCGTCGGGGTCGGGGAAGGCGAAGGCACGGTAGGTGCAAGGCTTCAGGATGGCGAAGTCCTCCTTCAGCAGGGAGCCCTCCTGGTAGAAGGCGAGCGTGTGCGCCAGAGAGTAGTTCCGGATGACGTAGTCCTGCTTACCCTTCACCAGCACCACGAACATGGTGGCACCCACCAGCTGCACAGAGGCCCGGACATCGAGGAACACAAGACTGCACTCACACAGCTTCTCGAGGTCCGCGCGGATACCCAAGGGCTCCCAACTTCGCGCTTCGCGCTGCGCGAAGCGCGACGTGCGACTAACTTCGCGCTCTCGCACCGCCTCCCAGGGAAGAAGAGGAGGAGGAATCGGAGCCGAACAGCGAAGCGCGAATAACTTCGAGCCCTAACGGGCGCCCTTGGATAATTATCGTGGATCGGCGCTGGGCCCCCGGAGCGCGCCAGCGGCCAGGAGTTGCGCCGATGGCGCGCCAGGGTGGGGCCAGGAGGCCCCGGTGCCGCTCCAGGCTGTCCGCCTGGAACTCTGAGAAAGCATGCCTTCGCCGCCTTCTGCTCTCCGAAGCTCACCCTGTAGGGGTCCGCCCGGATCCCCGTGGACACGGTGAACACGCTGTCCCCGACCACCGAGAGCGGCGTGTGCACGGACCACGCGAGCTCCCCGCCCTCGAGCGCCACGCCGCCGCCCACCACCTGTACGGGGCGTGGAGAACGACCACAGCCACTGCTTTTCCTTTGTTGCCGCCTTCCAGCCCGCAGCAACAAAGCAGTGGTTGTGGTCATTTTCGTTGAGCCTGGCACCAGGGATATGACCACGACCACTGCTTCCTTCTCGGCCGGATGGAGGGCGGCGCAACGACAAGAAGCAGAGGCTGTGGCCATTTCCCAGCCCCGCAGCCTGGAACGACACCAGCGGCACGGCCAGGCTGCCCTTGTGGCGGAAGCCGTCCAGCAGCGAGGAGGTCGCGACGCCGTCCAGCGACACCAGCCCGCCGGGGGGGAGCACCGGCAGATCGCTGGGCGCGTAGCCGACCGGCACGCGGCGACTGGAGCCCATCCTGGGCCAGGCCCGGACCGCGAATCCGAGGTCGTTCCGGACCACGTAGCGGGGCGCCACGGTGATCAGCCGCGACCGCAGGAACGGCGACGGGAGCTCCGAGACCGACACCCCCACGGAGCCGCCGGCGAACCTCGCGCCGTCCTCGCGCTCGCACTCCGGGAGGTGCGCCTCCCCCGTGGTGCCCGCGACCTCCGTCAGCACCGGCTGCGACCAGCCAGACTCCCAGGCTGCCTCACGGGAGCGACAGCACTGCGTGAGGAAAGCATGATTCCCCTGAGGTCCGCGCGGATCTCCTGGATCGGTGCCGGAGCCCCTCACTGAGGTCCGCGCGAAGTGTCTTGTGGTCCGCGCGGAGCGCGCCAGGGAGCGCACCTGAGGCTCCACCAGGGCGGCCCAGTGCCGCTCCAAGAGATCCGCCGAGCTCCGATACTTGCACTATGCTCGTGCCGCATTTTGTGCTCCGAAGCCTGCGCCAGACCAGGCGGACCAGCTGCGCTCAGGACGTCTTCGGCTCCTGCCTCGGGTTATGTAACTCCCGTCGAACTTAAGGGCCACATCCCAGAAATAATTTCGAGCGCCTGGAAATGTGCCGAAACAGTGTCGGACGAGTGTCTCCCAGGGCCCGACACGTGAAAATCATTGAGTTTCGGTACTCTCTTGGGGGCTCGACATTCTTCCTGGAAATCGAGGCTAAAGTAGGTTGGAACATCATGAGCCTCAGGGAGGCTGGAGGAGCGGCCGGTCCAGTGCTGCAGCGTGGCGCCCTCGGCCTGCGAGTCCCATGCCCACTCGACCCCGCTCGGCCGGCCGAGCAGTCTGAAAGCCACCTTCATGGACAAGCGCGCCCCACTGCCCGCAAAGTAGAAACTCGCAACTGGCCTGGATCCGCCGCGGGGGATTTACAATAGACTACAAAAAGGCAGGCGTGTGTTTTTTTTGTTCGGGCGTCTGCGAGTAGGCACTTTGCGAGTAATTAGTGGAACGCGCTCGGCGACACCAGGTGGCGACATCCGAACCCTACCCGCCCCAACCATCGATTCTCGCGGATCCGCCGACCCTGTCGGAGTGCGTGAGGGGCTTGTCCGTTCGAGCCGTCGTCCCCGTCATTCGTTAGTCGCCGTCTCTGTCATCCCCCTTCCCTGCGCCCCCCCTTTCCCATGGCCCGTCGCCGCTCCCCCCCCCCCTTCCCTGGGCCCTCCTCCTCAAGCGCTGGGCCCGTCGCCGTTGCCCACCCCCCTCCGTGGGTCCTTCTCCTCAAGCGCGCCAGCCAAAGCGAAATCGACCAACGTCGAAATTGACTCGAAAGGAAAGTCTTGTCCTTTGATCCCCCACCCGCCGTGAAAGGGGGGGTCCAGGGGGGTCGCGGGACGGGTCCCTGGAGGGGGTCCCGGGTCAGACGCCACTCGCCCCCGGGGGGTCCCGGGGCCTAAAAAGCCCCAGGACGGGCAAAGAGCGCCCCAAGAGGCCCGCAAGACGGTCCGAGAGGGTCCCGGATCGCTGAACAATCTGTCCAAGGCGCCTTTTATGGCCTACAAACGGCCCGCGAGCCCTGCAAGACGCCCCAAGAGGCCTCCAGGAGCACTCCCAAGAGGGCCCCAAGAGGAAAACCATGGACTTCCAAATGATTTGTGAAGCAGTCGGCGTTCTCGCCTCTTCCGCTTCCCGGCGCTCCAAGACGGCCCGAGGGTGAAAAGTAATAAGGGTACAGGGCTTGATAATGAGGTAATACGCTGAGAACCCTACTCTTAGGAAAACGTCGGCGACGTATCGAGATATCCCACAACTCATCCCTGATAGCAAGCAAGACGAAGAGGTCAGAGAGAAGCCATGGGATCGGGAGATGGATCATAGAAGGACGTGGCCTTTGTCCGTTGCTGTGAACCGCAAGTAGAGGTACACAGGGCAGTGCTAGGACTGCGCAGTCTTGAGCCAAGACAGCGTCGAATATAGCGTTCGCTTTGCAGCCTCACCTTACACCTCGCTTAAAGTCCAAGAGGCCCCTCAGATCGCGCCAAGACGGCCCAAGAGGCCTCCAGGAGGGACCCAAAACGGCCCAAGCAAGAGGGCCCCAAGACGGCCCAAAACGCTTCCAAGACGCTTCCAAGACGGCCCAGGAGGACCCCAAGACGTCTCCAAGAGGGTGCCCAGACGAGGGACCAGAACAGACATTTCGAGCCCCAGGCCCCGAGAGGCTCCCAGGAGGAACCAAGAGGCCCCCAAGAGGCTCCCAGGAAGCCCCGAGAGGCCCCCAAGAGGTCCCCGAAAGCGCTTCGAAGAGACCCCAAGACGCACCCATGAGGACACTGACCCGCGTCAGCGTCGTCGTCGTCGCCGCCGCCGGCGTTGTCGTCGTTCCCCTTCAGGGTCGGCGGCACCGGCCGTAAGGCCTTCGCAATCGATGGGAGGCGGGGGTAGGGTTCGGACTTCGACACGTGTTTGACGAATTTCGAACCCTACCTCGCCGCCCATCGAGTTGCCTGAATCGTTGATCGGCGAGGGTCGGGAGCGGATTTCGTCGAACCTTGTTGCTGGGCACCCGCAGGAAGACGACGTCGGGCCCAGCGGAGGCCTGCTGAGGTCGCTTCAGGCTCCCGGTCGCGAGCGCACTGCCCCCGGCCCAGGGCTCGCCAGTCAGGGGCGTCGCCGTCACTCTCTCCTCGTCGGGCATGAGATCGGCCTGGCGAGCCGCCTGGCCACAGTGGGCCTCGAGCTGCCACCCAGACTTGTTAAGGAGCCAGTGCCTGGCGTAGACGACGATCATGGCGCTGAGGCCCTCCCAGGCCAGCTCGATCTCGAGGCGAGGAGCGTGCTCGTCGTCCGAGACGATCCTGATCGTGCGACGGAGCTTCCTGCCGCTGGCTCGCCGAGAGGCCCGCTTCACAGAGAGCTCGTCGTGTATGGCGTCCTTCGGAATGGTGGCGCTGTACTCGTAGTAATCACAACTGTTTTGAGTACAGTGCGACATCAGCCCGACCGTTACTTTGATTGCAGAAGATCCGAAACTGCATCAAGCACACACTTCCAACGGTCCACGCGGATTTCTCAAGTCGGGGCTCAAACCCCGAGCCCCGCGCCGCCAGGGGTGTGGGGAGTGGGGTCCAGCTCCAACCCAACAAGTCCGCGCTGAACTCCGAAAGCGTATGTTCCTCTGAGGTCCGACGCTGCGAAACAAATGCACCATTCGAGGATCGCGGCTGGATCCCTATAGACCCCATCCTCTGCGGCATTTCTGAGACCGATCGATCCGAGATGGTTCCGAAGCCCGAAACCAGAGGAAACCGCCAGGATCTCATGCTCATGCCGTCTCGCGTCTTCCGGATCGGCTGCGAGGGGTCAATGTCGTCGAGCCCCTGTATGTCGCCCGAGGCCACCTTGGAGAGGCCTCCAGAATGGGGTCCAAGCCAATGGGGTCGGAGGATCGCGGCCCCATCGATGCTACATCGGCGACGCCGACATCAAGAAAAACATCGGATCCACATCGAGCCACGGCCCGAGTCTTCGACCCATCTGCTCGGATCCCATGTGTGGAAGGCCTGCGATCGGGGATCTGCTGACCCGGATCAATCCAGACCTGGGTCAGTCAGGCCTTGCATGATCCTGCATGATCCTGCAAGATCCTGCGCCCGAACCCGGGCCAATGCCAATGCGGAGGATCCTGCAAGATCCCGCAGGACCCTGCGCCCGGGCCCGGGCCAATGCGACCCTGGCCCTGCAGGATCCTGCAAGATCCGGCGCTCTGGCTGACCCCCGTTTGCACTGACCCCGTCTCGAGGCTCCTCCTCCTCCTCCTCCTCCTCCTCCTCCTCCCCTCCTCCTCCCCTCCTCCTGCCTCCTCCTCCTCCCTCCTCCTCCCTCCTCCTCCTCCTCCTCCTCCTTCCTCTCCCCTCCTCCTCCTCCTCCTCCTCCTCCTCCTCCTCCCTCCTCTCCTCCCTTCTCCTCCTCCTCCCCCCCGTCTCGAGGCCCCCGACCTCGGAGAGCGCCTGCGGCCCAGGGGGTGCGTTTCCCGGCGCCCTCGGGGTGCCCAGGCCCGCGCGCAGGGCGCGCCCGAGGGCGGCGGCGGCGGGGCTGCCCGCCTCCGGGGCGGGCCCGCACGCCGTGCCTGAGGGGCATCGTCACGAAAAGGGGAAGGAGAGAGGGGGGAGGGAGGGGGGAGGGAGAGGGGGGAGGGAGAGGGGGGAGGGAGAGGGAGAGGGGGAGGGAGAGGGGGGAGGGAGAGGGGGGGGAGGGAGGGAGGGGGGGGGAGGGAGAGGGGGGGAGAGAGGGGGAGAGAGGGGGGAGGGAGGGGGGGGGAGGGAGGGGGGGGGCCTGCTCAGGTCTGGTGGGCTTGTTGTCCACCGCCAGCACCACACATTCCCAAGCCGAAAGCTTTCCCCTTGGACTAACACTATGACAACATCAATGGATCCAAGTGGCCTTTTTTCCGGGTGTGGGAGAATTTCGTGGATCCTATGTCTGTGTTGCGCGGATCCAATTTCTTGTGGGAAAAAACTATGGATCCATTTATTTCCCGAAGATAAACCAACACTGAGAAGTAACATCCGGGAATCAGGGGAAATGGGATCCGATGAGCACCGCAAATGAAGCATCATGCTGTCCACGGAACTGTGGATCTGCAGATCAATGCTACGATTATACGGGGGAGGGGGTCTTCCCAGGATGAAGAGGGGAAGGATGAGGGAAAAAGGCAAGAGGAGGTGGGAGGAGAACGGAAAGGACGCAGGGGGGGACAGAGGAGGAACAATCAGGGAAGAGAGGGGGGGAGGAGGAAGGAAGAGGAAAAGGAGGAGGAGAAGGAGGATGAGGGAGGAGGGAGGAGAGAGGAGGGAGGCGGACGGACGCAGGAGGAAGGAGGAGGAGGAGGAGAAGGAGGTGGGAGGAGGAGGGGGGAAGTGGGAGGAGAAGGGGAGGAATGGATGAGGGAGGGCGAGGACACACAAGCAAAGTGTCCAAGTCAGAAGCTCGAGCGCCACAGCGGGCCCGGCCACCTCCTTTCACTTCTCCCATAACATGTGGTTGCTCGAGCGCCACAGCGGGCCTGGCCATCTCCCGAAAGTCCTCCCATAACATAGGTTTGTTCGAACGCCACAGCAAGCCCGGCCAACTCCCGCATCTCCACCCATAACATATTTACCCCACCTCGAAGCGAGCGCTCCATGTATCCGCTCACCTGAACGGCGCGTCGCTTCCGACATGTGGGGCTCAAGAAGAAAATCGTTCGGCCTGCGCACGTTGGATTTCGAACTGCGTCTCCCCCGCCAACACTTGGTGCGTGGAAGTGCGAGAGGGGTGCGAAACCCTTCAGTGGGAGTTCGAACTGCGTCTCCCCCGCCAACACGTGGTGCGTGGAAGTGCGAGAGGAGTGCTAAATCTTGCAGTGGGAGTTCGAACTGCGTTTCCCCCGCCAACACTTGGTGCGTGGAAGTGCGAGAAGCGGTGCGAAATCCTTCAATGGGATTTCGAACTGCGCCCCCCCCCCGCCAACACTTGGCGCGTTCAAGTGCGAGAGGGGTGCTAAAACCTTCATCCCCAGGCCGAATTGTTCCCCTTTGGACTAAAAATATGAGCACATCAGTGGATCCAAGTGGCTGCTTTTTTTTGGGTGTGGGAGAATTTGGTGGATCATATCTCTGTGTTGCGCGGATCCAATTTCCCGTGGGACAAAACGGTGATCCATTCATTCCCCGGGAATAAATCAGCAATGAGAATTAACATCCGGGACCCAGGGGAGATGGGATCCGAGGGGCACCGCAAGTGAAGCATCATGCTATCCACGGAGATGTGGACATGCAGACGAATGCTAGGATTATGCGGGGGAAGGGGGTCTTCCCAGGATGAAGAGGGGAAGGATGAGGGAAGAGGCAAGAAGAGGTGGGAGGAGAACAAAGGGGACGCAGGGGGGGAGAGAGGAGGAACAATCAGGGAAGAGAGGGGGGGAGGAGGAAGGATGAGGAGAAGGAGGAGGAGAAGGAGGATGAGGGAGGAGGGAGGAGAGAGGAGGGAGGCGGACGGACGCAGGAGGAAGGAGGAGGGAAGAGGTGGGGGGAGGAGGGGGGAAGTGGGAGGAGGAGGAGGAGAGGAAGGGATGAGGGAGGGCGAGGACACACAAGCAAAATGTCCAAGTCGGAAGCTCGAGCGCCACAGCGGGCCCGGCCACCTCCCTTCACTTCTCCCATAACATGTGGTTGCTGGAGCGCCACAGCGGGCCTGGCCATCCCCCGAATGTCCTCCCATAACATACGTTTGCTGGAACGCCACAGCAAGCCCGGCCAACTCCCGCATCTCCACCCATCGCACCCCACCTCGAAGCGAGCGCTCCATGTATCCGCTCACCTGAACGGCGCGTCGCTTCCGACATGTGGGGCTCAAGAAGAAAATCTTTCGGCCTGCGTAAGTAAGTAGGAGGGGGAGGGGGTCCCTCCTCCTCCTCTTCTTCCTCCTTCCCCTCATCCTCCACCTCCTTCCCCCCATCCAACTTATGGTGGTGGTGGTGGTGGTGGAACACTCCCATCACAGGTCGGGGAGACGTAGGACTCGGGCACGGGGGACTCGGGTTGGCCTGACGGGGGCCATCATAAAAATGACGAAGCCCAATCCGAAATCTGACGCGGGCTCCCGCTGCAGACCTCCCACGAAAACGGGACCGTCAAAATCCACGACGCGCTCATCAAAAAACGTCGGCAAGCCCGAGTTCCGGCTTACCCGAATCTTACGTTTCCCCGATCAGGGGGGGGAGCCGCCACATGGCCATAGGCAAATAGGAGGCATGGGTCGTTCAACACATGACGCATGGGTCGAGAAGCACAGGGCAGGTGGAAAGGTGAAGGCGCGGGGTCGCTGACACACGGGTCGCGTTTTCCGTTTGTTCTCGGCGGCCTTCCAGCCTCGGGATGCCCTGCAGCAGCTGCGCCCCGCCGAGAGCGTTCCGGGGGGAAACCAGGATCATCCCCAACAGCCGCCAGAGGCCCGAATTCTGCTTCGAAAACCACCTGGGGACCAGCTCAGGCGGGGTAGCCGTCGGCCTGGAATCAGCGATACAGCGTCGATGGATCGGCGATAGGCCCCCGATCGCAAAACCGCACGTTCCCTGGCAGGGTGGGCTATCGGGCCCAACTCGGCGACGAGTGGGCGATTTGAGATTGGACGCATTCTCCCTGAGCCGATCCCCCCCCCAGCGCTATTTCCCCCTGAGTGCCGCACAGAATCCTGCACGGCATCCCGTTGAGGACGCGGAGCATCGGCACGCAGACCAGGACTCTGCTCGAGGAGCAAAGGCTCATGCACAAACAGGAACTTCCAGAGGTCCGCGCGGACTTCTCGAGTCGGCGCTGGAGCTCCCCGCGGCGCCTCTGGCACCGCCCCTGGCCTCTCCGCGCGCCAGGGAGGGGGACCCAGCGCCGATCCACGAAATCAGCGCGGACCTTACAAAATTGCCTTGCTCATGCCACGTTCTGCCCCTCGACATGTCCCTCACGAGGCCTTCCTGCACGAGGCCCTGCTGCAGCAACACAAACTTGTAACCGCCTCCGCGGGACCACTGGGTCGTGTCGCCGTCTATACGCGCGCAGTCCTCCGGCATGATAGCCGTCGCCGTGGGCTCGCCCAGCCCCGAGCCCTCGCCGCTGTTGGTCAGGGTCACCTCGAAAGCGCCCCCCACGCCAGCCTGCCGGGACTCGCCGGGCCCGACCAGCATCCTGAACGCCCCGGTCGGGTCGGTCATGACAAGCGTCCTCTTGGTCACGTTGCTCAGCGAGCATATGCCAGACAGGGTGACGAGCGGGGCGCGGCGGTGCACATCCACGCTGACGTCCACCAGGATGCTCAGAGCAGGCGAATGGGGATAACGGCAGCCTTGCCGTCGCTCGGACGTCCATTTCCCCTGCATTTTTCGGTTTCGTGCGTGTTTTTTTCTCGATGGTCCAGGATGGTCCTCGAAGGTTCTCGCCGAGAAAACATGCACACGTCCGAACGATGCCAAGCAGATGGAAATCGATTCCTGGAACCGTCCCGGGATCCAACGCACCAATTTCCAAAGCCGCGCCCGCCCGTGGTGACGAGGGGCACGCCCGCAGGCCAACTGCCGTTGGCTCAGCTCGCCCTCCTCTGAGATGAGCCTCTCGCGCGCGACGTCCCGGAAGACCTTCCTGCCCGTCACGGAGATGGCGATCTCCCCGTCGACCCGCCACGGGTCGCGCGAGTCGGCGCCCTGCACGGCCAGCGTCCACCTCTCCGCGAGCCCGCTGGTCTCCAAATGGTGCACCTCAACGAACCACAGAACTACGCGAACGGAACTTCTCAGGGGTCCACGCGGACTTCCTGGATCGGCGCTGCAGGCCCTCTCCCTGGCGCGCGAAGCGCGCCAGGGGCGGCGCTGGAGTCGCAGCCAGGGGGCTCCAGCGCCGAACCAAGAATTCCGTGCGGGCCTCCACTCTGTGTGTTCTTTTTCGATCGCCGCCGTCGTCGCCGCCGTCGTTGTCGCCGTCGTCGTCGCCGTCGTCGTCGTCGCCGTCCTCGTGGCACCTCCTGCGAGGGATCCAGCTCCATCCGCACGGCGACGGGCTCCTCGAACTGGGCGCGTCCGATCTCCACTGGCCTGCAGGCGCCGAAGGGCACGCGCGCGGAGACCCTCACGTCCAGGAGCGTGCGGTTGAGGACGCGGACAATGTTTGGGGCAACCTTCCTCCGATGGAAGAACAATTGACGGCATGACATAAATTTTCGAAGGTCCGCGCGGGTTCCCCGGATCTGAGCTGGACCCCCCTCCCTGGCGCATGGAGTGATGGGCCTGTGTTCCACTACCACCACCATAAGACGGAGGGGGGAAGGAGTAGGAGCACGAGGACGACGACGGCTGGGAGAAAGGAGGAGGAGGAGGATCCCTCGAGGAGGAGGAGGAAGAGGAGAAGAGGAGGACCCCCTCCACCTCCAACTTCTGGTGGTGGTGGAAATCAAGCCCATCATGGATCGCGCCAGGGGCGGCGCCGGAGGCGCTGCCAGAGAGGGCCCAACGCAGATTAAAAACAATCCGCGCGGGTCTTCGACAATTTACGCCCATGCCGTTTATTATCCTTCGGTCTGTGATGGGTGCTCGTCTGGGGGAGGGGCTGCCGCGCACTTGAACGACGCGGCCGCGAAGGAGAGGGCCTGGAGGAGCGGCGGCGTCGCGTTGACCACCATGTGATGGTCCGACAAGAACCTGACGCTCTTGCCGTCGGCGTCCAGCTTGACGCTCCATGGCTCAACGAGCGGCTCCACGAGACAGTGCTCGTGGTTCCAGTACGAAGCCCTGATGGAGAATCCACCTGACAGGCCCTGGAAACTCAACGCACTCTTCTGCGAGGACGTCACCACGCCCCCAGCCAGCAGGACATGGTGAATGTCGACGCAGATGCGAGGTATGGCGCTCGCGTGCTGGCAGTCCGCGAGCCTCAGCGACACATCTGGCATGTCAACGCTGCATACAAGTGTAACATCCCTTGCCTCGGGATCGCTGGGCACATCACTGATCGTAGTCAAGCTGAGGGTTGGGTCGTTCCAGAAGTCCGTGGCGAGGATGCCTCCGTGCAGCTTCCACTCGGCAAACTTGCTGTCCAGCCTTGGAGCGATGGATGCCGTCCACGTCGACTGGGCCATCGAGTAGTTCTGCAGGGCACGCACCCAGCGAAGTTGCAGAACCTCTGGGTGGGCCTCGAGCGCATGCTCGTCAAAGTCGGGGCAAACGCACCTGCGGAAGGTCTCCTCCAAGTCGAGGCTCTGGGGGACGGGCACAACGAAATCGCAAAGGTTAGGGCATACAGGGCCGGCAGAGCGCTCCTCAGCGCCCTGCCACTGATCGAAGAAAGCCTGCAACTCCTCCACTCGTACAACACCATTGTTGTCCGTGTCGATCATTCGCATCATGTGCTTGCTCGCCATCTTTATTTCCACAAGTGTCATCTTGTGACCGTACAAAGTCAACAACAATTGATCCACTTCGGCACTCTCCAGGAAGCCAGACCCATCCGTATCCAGTTCGTCGAATATCCGCCTCACAAACGCCAGATGCGCGGCGTGCCTCTTCGCGTCCTCGCGAGGCTTCTTCGTCAAAATACTTTCCGCCGTACTCTCGGCGCTGTCAAGCTGCACCGCCTTCGCCGCATCTGCCACGTCCTGGAGGATGTGCTGCACCTGCCACAACGCGTGCCTAGAGGACCACCAAACTGCATAAGCTCAAACTTTCGGAAGACCGCGCTGATCTCTTGAATCGACGGTGGGGCCCCTTCCCTGGCGGGCGGACCGCGCCAGGGGCGGAGCCGGAGGCGCCGCCAGGGGAGCCCAGCGCCGATTCTAGAAATCCGCGCGGACCTCGCAACGTGTTTGTCTACGCCGTTTGTTCTTCGCATGCCCCGAGATATTGACGGCGACGGCCGCCTGCTCCCTCACGCCGGGAAACACCACCGCGTGGTTCTCCTTCTGACGCGAAAGGCGACGGAAAAAATGTATATGATGCCCAACAGCCAATCGAATCCAAGACCCACAAACGGCCGCTGTTGGGCAGGCGGCCTCCTGTCTCGACTGGACAGCTGCCGCGGCGACACCGACAGCGCGCCCTCCTCAAGATGCACCAGAAATGAGGGCGGTCTTCGTCGCCATTCCTTTCCTTGCCCATTTCGATCGTCCCGATCTCCGCGTGTAGCAGCACGGTGTCCCTGCCGCCAGAGGCGTGAAGCCAGCACTCCGCCGAGAACGAGCAGGGCTCGAGCACGGGCACGGCGAGGGAGCTGGGCGGCGCGCAGGTGATCTCCAGGCAGCCCAGGAACGCCCTGGCCTTCGAGCAGCGAGTCGACTACAGAACTGCTTCACCCCAAAGTTGGTTTCTCGCCAGATCCATGACACATGCGTAGAATTTAACAAGATCTGTGGACATTATGTTTTTTTTCTCGTAGGTTCCCGACGACAAAAAACAAATTTGCGGTTCTAGATTCGATCCCCTACTCGAGGCCTCCAACTTCTTCGGGCCCGCGTCACGCAGGAGCTTGGCGTCGACCGTGCAACCCCAGGAGCCCAGGCTCTTGGGATTAAGGCTGGCGGCGCCCTGCTGCGGTGCAAGAATGCCCACGCTTGCGCGGAGCGACTCCATTCTGGCCGTCAGGCCGTGCCCAGAAGGGTGGCTGTCGCCGAGCACCTCCACGACTATGCACTGCACCTCTGCAGACGCCTCGACGGCATGCACGGGCCTCTTCTCGGCCTTGATCTGGTCGATCCACTCGTCGAGACTCAAAGCCTCGGGCACAGGCCAGCAGCTCCGCTCGCAGTGCGCGAGCAAGATCTCTTCGGCGGTCATCCGCTCCTCCCACGCAACAACGTCCCCTCCCTTGGCAAGGGCCTGCGCATACTGCGCCCTCTCGCCCGGCTGCAGCGGCGATATCGTGCACGTCGCCTCGCCCTCTTCCGCCTCTTTCCACTCCGAGAACCGCTTCAAGGCCGCGGCCGCCTGCATCAGCGCGCTCACAGTACAGGGGCGAACCTGGGAGAACATACCCCAACAAAACACCCTGATAGCAGCAAAGAAGGAGGGACCGGTCGAAAAGAAAGTCGGCTATAAAGGACAAGGGTAAGAATACGGCCATGTGTTGTAATTGACTGAGGGAGGCACAGGCGAAAGCTAGAAATTCCAGTTCGGAAACTAAAGGAAATACGAGTTCGAAAAACTGTCGGAAAACATATTTTGACCGAGCTTAGAAAAAGTGTAGGAGCAGCTTGAAAAAAAGCTCAGAAGGGTAGAGAACGTTTGGGAAGTTGTTCGGGAAAGCAACACACATTCATAAGATCAAGCGAAATTCAAGCGGGCTCTGGATGGTCCAAACTTCTTCGCCACCGACCGTCATCCAAATCTGTCCCCGATTTCCAAATTGTAGCAACGTTGAACCTGAATGATGTAACAGATTTGGCTTCGAAGTTCCAGGCGTTGATTATTTTTACACAAGGTCCGTGCGCGCCCCCTCAGACAATTACAAGCCATGTGCACCATAGTGTAATTTGTCAACTGATGTGAAAGGGGTCGTCACCGCCTGGCACAAAAACATGCAGACGGCACTGAGGCAAGAACACGACTCCTGAATGAACCGTGAGGAGTCTCAAGCGAAACGGCTGCCAGACCGGGCGGTCTTGGGCTTCACGTCCCCCATGTGGGACTCCCCTGTGGTCCTCCTTCGCATCTATCAGAACCCTTCACCGAAACGCTATCAAGGCAAAAAGGTACCGATACCGCGATTCCTTGGACCTTTTCCGAAGGTGCATTCTCACCAGAATTTCGAAGCGAACCATCCCGCGGTGACGACGGCCTCCCAGGAGGCCCAAAAAGGCGAAAACGAAACGAATGCAGCGGTATCGGTACCTTATCATACTCTGCTTCCCCTAATAGACGTGGGTGGGGTAACTTTCAGGGCACGCGGATTGGGCCACCAATATAATGTTCGCCGGCTTTGGGCTGTGGGGCGGGATAATCGCCGGCCCCAACGAGAGGGCTGCTTAATGTTCGCTGGTGTTTGGGCTCAGTATTCGCGTGAGCGCGGGCGCGCGTTACAAACCTCCCATCGTGTTCACCCCTTCTTCTCCTTCCTCCTCCCCCCCATCTGTCAATCTATCACACAATGGTACACATGCGCCAGATCAAGTAAACATTCGGGACTGAGACCATGAAAGTGCGCATGTCTCTTAAACAAGACGAATAGACGTGTACACCCACACTTCAGGCAAGCACATGCTGGATGTACGGGCTTAGGTATTTGGACGTGTTTATGTGCGTGTGCGTGCGTGCGTAGGTGCATGCGTGTTTGTGTGTGTGTGTGTGTGTGTGTGTTCGTGTTTGTGTTTGTGCTTGTGGTTGTGTTTGTGTTCGTGTTCGTGTTTGCGTGTGTGTTTGTGTTTGTGGTTGTGTTTGTGCTTGTGTTTGTGTGTGCGTGCGTGCGTGCGTGCGTTTGTGTGTTTGTGTGTGTGCGCGCACGCTTCGTGGCTTGCGTGCGCGCGTGAGTGCGCGCGCACTCGCGTGGCTCCTGCGTGCAACGCACGATTGCTTGTGAGTATGTGTTTACGGCTGTGTGTGCATGTGTGTGCGTGTGTGTTTGTGAGTTCGCAGTGTCTGCGTAGTTTACTGTACGTTCGCGTGCGCGCGCGTACTCGCGCGCGCAACGCGCCGCGCGACGCGAACGGGGACGCTGTCGCATCCCTTGGAGGGTGAAAGAAAGGGTCCGAAACAGGGGGTCTGCAATGCGGGCGGAATGGCCAATGTATGCTCAATATACAGATGTATATATACATATATATATATATATATATATATATCCATATTCACGTTCTGCTCACGCGCCAGAGAGAGCATCTCACCGAGGCTCGAAGACTGTAAATCAAATCACCGCCAGATATACACGTATCGCTCATGTATATGATCGGGTATGATTGACGTCCAATGTTGGCGGTCATACAAGGGCCAGTCGTTCGTGCCCGCGCGTCGCCCGCTCTGGCAAACGCACCGTCCATCAATCATCGTTCACGCGTGCGGGCGTCCTTGCATATCGCGTGCGGGGCGGCGAAGTGGAGCGCAAGTGTGTCTTGATTGTGCGATTGTGCGACAGATTTGGAACGGGTCCCGCCATTCTCCCAACATGTGAATTCACATGTTCCTTTTTCCCAAAATGTGAATTCACATCTCCCTTTCTCCCAAAATGTGAATTCAAATTCTGGCCCCTTCTTAAAGAATCCTATACTAAATTCCAAAATGTGGACTCACATTATCTTTTTGTCCAACATGTGAATTCACATGTTCCTTTTTCCCACGGTGAGCTGACATGCTACGTAATTGCTTCGCCGGCCCTCGGGATCATATTTTTCGCTGGCGCGTGAAAATGCCCTTGGCACACTTTTTGCCGGCGCGAGCCCCCCATGCAGTTTGCCCGCCCCCCCCGCGTCCATCAGGGGAAATAGAAAACCCCGAGAGCCTCCAGCACGACGCGCCGGACAAGGACCTCGGCCCTCGCCCTCTTCGCTGGGAGGGCGCGGGGCGTCAGCAGCGTCCTGACGACGCGCGGCAGCTCCAGCCTCTTAAGCTCGAGATCCGCGCGGGGGAGAAGCAGCCTGCCGCCCACCGATGCGCTCACCGGGTGTTGCTAGAAGCGGTCCCAGCCCAGGTTGCCCGTAGCCATGCGCGCCATCTTGGAGCCCTGACGACCCTCTGGGCCTCGAGAGGGGCTGCCATCTGGGCCTGACCGAAAGCCTGGGGACATCTTGGGTTTGGAAGCGGCGGGAGGGGTCTGCGCTGGACGAGCCCCGAGGAACTTTCAACTCCGCTCAAAATCTGTCCCTGGACCCCTCCCGGGATCGAAACTGGCTAGCTTCTCGGGCCGCGTCAGTCGTGGCGGGGAGAGGGCCACCTCAGCGTGAACTCATGGGAGCCATTCGTACACTATCTTGCTGGTCCTTGCGGGTCGACGCAAAATCGACGCTAATCGACGACGCTAAACCGATACCATCCCATCAATTACCCGAGGCTGATCGACGCGAACGCACTCAGAAACTAAACGAAAGCGCAGAGGTACACAAGGCCCCCATGACTCGCGGCCGAACTTCCCCCCTCCTCCGGCCGGAACCAGCGCTGGGCCACCTCGGCCTCCGAGGCGGGATCCAACCTTGGGCCAGGCACCCCCTCGGCAGCGCCCGAGCTCAGCTGCAGCTGCGCCTGCGCCCGCGCGCCGCCCCGCTCGATGGCGCGGCAGCCGGCGGTCCGAAGGTCCGCACGCACGGAGACCTCGACGTGCAGGGACCCTCCGAAGCCGGGGCGGTGCCAACCAGAACTTTGGCTGCCCCCGCAGAGGCAGCAGCGGCAGCAGAGAAGAAGAGGCGGGTCGAGGCGGAGGAGGTCGGCTACAGAATGGGACAGGGGCGAGGGGTGAGAGCACGGCCATGCGCGATTTTACTGAGGGTCGTGGCCGTCTCGAAACGGCCAGGTGTACATCGACGTATTTGTGCTGCCAAGACATTGCTAACCAAAACTTTGGAAGTTCCACCGAGGAAGAACGGAGAACGAGGTTCGACCCACGGCTGCCGTGTTCTCGGGCGCGCCAACGTCCTGGTTTACCCATGTCCCCGTTTAGAGGGCCCTGAGATGTCGGGGACACCCAGCCCGCGAATAACGATCTCGATACCGTCCAGTGACGCCTTCGTCCTGCGGATTAAGGTCGAGGAAGACAAGATGCATAAACATATAAATTTTCGGACGTCCGTGCGGGTTTCCTTGGATCGGCGCTGGACCCCCCTGGCGCGCTCTGCGAGCCGATCCAAGAAATCAGGGCGGACCTCCGAACATTTATGCTGACGCCGCTTCTCTTCTTCGGGAAGGACTCGGCGACGCCCGCCACTGCCGCTGGGACCGGACCCTTGCCTTTCAAGCTGGCCTCCACAGCTTTTATGGCTGCCTGCGCCTTGTTTTGCGAGCTCTTCCGCGCGGCGTCCTGGACGTCGGCGGCCGCGCTCTCCCAAATCTGATGGGAAGTCCACTCCAATTCCACCCGCAGCCCTGCCACGCTCACGCGGACCCCAACGACAGGACCGACGGACAGCCCGAACTGATGGACGTACACCCTGGTCACGCGGAGCGGCAAGCTCTTGCGGAGCGCCTTGTCAATCTGATCAAGCGCGGACTTCTGCAGCTCGGCCCTCCGCAGCGACACCAGGCGGGTGAAGCCGAGCGTGGGGGCGCGAGACACGTACGACTTCAGGAACGGGAAGAGCAGCGTCCCCAGAGCCTTCCACAGCAGCCCGAGCCCGCAGCCCCCCAAGAGCCTTCCGCAGCAGCCCGAGCCCTCCTGGGGAAACCAACGGGTACCGACACCGCTGCTCCCCAGACCACTCCCAGGCTGCGTCCTGACCAGAACTTCGAGGCACGTCCGTCGGTGGCGACGAAGGCCTCCCAGGAGGCCCAAGATCGGGCGTTGGCAGAACTGGGTTTAGGGGAACCTGGCTTAGAGATCTGTACCGGGGGCGCTTCCCCGTTCCATTTCCACTGACCGGAGCTGCCGTCACCCGAAAAACACCAGTTACGGCAAACTTGGTTTAGTGGTTCTGGCCAATTCGAAGGCTCCGGGGCCCTACCACTAACTGGGTCCCCTCACCCAGGGTCCTGGCCATACCCGACAAGGGGGGGAAACCGAGGGAGGGGTAGCGGTATGGGTACCTCTTCCTCCTCTGACCCTCCAGCAGACCCAGCGCCCAGACGAGAGGAGCCAGCACGAGCGCCCACGCGGCCATGGCTCCACCGCGGGGGACGGGTCCGAAGACCACACGGCCTCCGGCCGCCCCTGCCGCTGCCCCGGCTTGAGCCGGGGTCTACGGACGCGTGCTCGCGGAGACACAGACCCACACACACACATCCACACACACGCACACACACACACACGCACACACACAAATACACACACACACGCGCAGTCACAGTCAAAGACACACACACACACAAATGCACACACACACAAACACACACACACGCGCGCAGTCACAGACATACACACACACGCACACACAAATGCACACACACACGCGCAATCACAGACATACAGACACACATGCGTACGGGCACACACACAGAAACACACACACAACACACGCACACACACACACACCGATGCACACAAAAACCCACACACATGCACACACAAATGCATGCACACACATGCGTGCACATACTTTTAAGACGGCGGCACAGAGGAACCTCGGGCGCGGTCGGCAGGTGGAAGTACCATTTGCGGAGAGGCATGCGTGCACACACACAAACACATACACACACTTTTTGGCCGTCGAGGCCCCGCGCGCAGCGACGAGGCGGAGAATGTCAAGCACCGCGGCGGCCGGGCACCGTGCGCGTCTGCCTCAGAGGCGGCCGCACCACACACACACATATACGCACACACACACATATACGCACACACACACCACAGCTGCACACCACGCCTGACAAGGACCTAGCGCTAGACGGCAATGCGTCTTCGAGCTGATCCAGGAAACTCCAAGAGAGCCCATAATCGAATCGATAAATCGGATCCGCGCTCGACGTGAATCGGATCGGCAGAAATCAACAGCCGAGTCGGGCGAAATCGAATCGGCAGAAATCGGCAGGTCGAGTAGGTCTCCAATGAAGAATCGGAATCCGAATCGAAATCCGAAGCCGAATCGAATCGGAATCGGAAACCATCAAGATCGAACCGAATCGAGCCGGCATAATCGAAATGAGCCCTGAAACTCCGCTCGAAGAGTTCCAGACAGGAATTCGGCGTGTACGCAGCCGCGGTTTCGATCTGCCCCCACAGCAATACGTACCCTTCGAGAGTCCCACCTGTCCTCTACGACTGCTGGGCCCCAGTGGCTGCCCGGCTGGCTCGTCGTAGCCCGTCGCCGCCGTCGCCGCTAGGCCTCAATCGCGGTCCAGCCACCTCGCCGCCGGTTGTGGCCGCCCGTCGACGCCGCCCGTCGCTCCCGCCCACGCAATGCGATTGCGATCGGCGCTTCGAGATTGGGCGAGAAGGGGGGGGGGGGTCTGCCTCCGGACCTCTGCTGCTCACGGCCTCTACCCACTGTTCCGGACATGTTCTGAGCGCAATTGCTGACGGTGGAGTCCTATGGGGGGGCCTTGTTGGGGAAACCTGGAGGGGAAAATCGATCGGGAAGTCCTATGGTGGGAGCTCACACGGGGAATCCCATAGGGAATCCGATGGAAATATTGGGAATCCAGGGACTGCCCACAAGCTGGTCGGGAACCCCAACCAAATTCTTCGCCTACGGTGAAGCATGCGTCCAAACCTGTTGTACGTATCAACGATAGTCCCAGGAGTGCGACTGAGCCGCGGGAGCGGCGATACATCTCAAACGAAAGGGATGATGCGTTTTCGGTCTCGGCGTATGAGTATGCGCCTCGGAAAGGCACAATCAAATTGGCGGCCGGTCGCTGGACCGAAATGGCCGCGGACACACGTTCGCTACATCTGAATTTTGCCCAGCCTCCTTTCGAGTCGGGGGGTAGAAGACGAAGCGTGAGTCTGGTACCGGCATGATTCAGAAACACAACTATAGCACACAATGGAGGCAACAGCAGGCGGGCTCAACCTAGGCAGGTTGGCAGGTTGACCCGCAGGCAAGTTACCTCGCAGGCAAGTTACCCCGCAGGCAAGTTACCTCGCAGGCAAGTTGCCCTGCAGCTTATTATTCCTCAGGCGGCTCAGATGGTCTCGTCTGGCCAGCCCTGTAGGGAGTGTGTCGTTTCAGGTCGTGCTTGAATGATTGTATTCCACCCATTCCGTATCCACCTAATGTGTCCTGAAAGTGTACACCCAGTCGTTTTTTGTTTTCTTCCCAGGTCTTTGATTGACAAAGACTTGGAGGCGGATCCGGCATCAATGGTCAAAGTGACCTTGATACTCAGGCCGACCATCTCGAACATATCCTCCAGTTGAGTGGGTGTCGGCGGCCCTCCGTGGAGTTCGTGCAGAGTGACAATCGTGGGATAGCAGTCCTCCAAATTGTCCGTTGCTGCTTGTGTGTTCCGATGGGTCGCTCGAGCGGATTTGCAAGCGATGAGACTTGCAGTGCGCGTCGACAAGATGGACGATGGGTTTACCAGCCTGCGTGTGTCCACGCCTTAGCAGGTTTGCCCCGCAAATACCATAGCCTTTAACTTCGTCATCGGCATCGCCGTTCAGGCGACGATAGCCGGAGTCACTAGTCAGATTGACCTCGCCACTTGGTGTCATCGCCTGATAGGCGATCTTGTCAGGGCAGGTCTGCAGCTTCCTGGTAATCGCGCCAAGTCGTCGCACTTGCAAATTGGTCAGTTCTTGAACACGCTGCAGTGATGCAACATATACAATCAAACACACTTGCGTGAGAAGGGCGAGTGCCAGGGCGCCTCTGAGGCTGACAAACATATCAGTAACCATTTTCGACACCTTGCCTATATCACTGCGCAGTTGGCATGGGCATGCATGTAGACTGGACAGGTCCCGAAACAATCCTCAACGCACTTGGCGCTTGCGGATGGCGTCTCCGGTGCCGGCCATTCATCGACATGTTTGGCAGTGAGAGGGTTCGGGCTCGCCTCGAACTCTTCGTCGCATGACGCGGGTCTGAAGCCAGAACCACTCGCGGTCTTCCTGGGCAGTGTCTTGACTCATCACGGTGCTCGAATCCCGAGCGGGATCTGAGCGCAGATGCTGGGCCAGGTGGCAACGTGAAACGCGCAGCGCGTTCCTAGTCACCGGTGGCCCCAAGAAGTTCTTGATGCGCAAGTCCCTTCAGGAAGGCCATGTTGATGTCGAAGGAACCAATGGCCCACTGATGCCTGCGCGCTGCCGCGCTGGCGAGCAATCGCTGCCTCGACCGCCGCGCCGTTCTTGAGAACGCGTCTACGTCGAAGGCTTCGAGGCCCATGAAAACCCGAAGTGCCAAGCGCAATCTGACTGCACGCTCCATCTCGCCCTTTCGTTCTTGGCGAACTTCCATTCGTATACGTGCCTCGAAGTCATAATGTTTGACGCCTTGCATGTATATATGTATATATACATCGTATATTGAAACACTTGTTATCGTGTCTTGAGTTCAAGATATAAGACCTTCGATGCCTTGACTGGGTTCACCTGGACATCTGCCTTCGCGACGCAGTCGTCCTCCCTGGCGACTACAGCTCGTTTAGATCCAGCGGTGACATATACTCGTATGAGTGGTAACACGGTCGAGTTCCAAAATTACATGTTGTTGTTCGGATATGGCTCCCTTTGACACTTCTGCCGTGAAGCAGAGCTCTACGCATCGCCCATGATCGTCGGAGTCCAATCCGCAGCTGTCATCTTCGTCCGTGAAACACAGTGGGACATGATATGTCTCGGTTGTGTACATGTCTTGTGGGCTACCCCGCGTAGGCAGGTGCCCCAGCTGTCCTTCAGCTACCGTGGCCAGCGCGCTGTGATCGGAAATCCAATGTGTGGGCGCAGTATAGAGCTGTTCTAGTGGAGTTGCCTCCAGTAGTTCCCTTTCGCCGCGTAGTTCCGCATGCCGCACTTCCATAATGCGTGCCTCGAGATCCGCCTCTGATTCCTCATGCATTGTGGAAAACCGGCCGTCTTCCTGCGGCGGTTTGGCTTCTGGGGCCTCCCTGGCATCGCTGCCTTGTGCCGGCATGTCGGCCAGTTCTTCGAACTTCGCCATGTCTTGATCGAAGCCCGCATGAGGTTTGGTGAACTTCAGGCACTGGTTGATTCAGTGCGCTGGTCCACTGATGTCTTGAATTTTTAAGGCAGCGCCCTCAGCTTCGTAGTAATGGGAGCCTGGGGTCACGCCGTTGCCATAGTGCACCAACGTACATGTGTCCGCATACGTGACCGGAAGTAGGTCATTAATGCCTCTGGCTAACCCTAAAGAAACCACGTTTTCAATAGGAAGAAGTTCCTGATGAGGTACTGAAGAGCTAAATGTACCTCTGGAGATAACCGGCTCGCGCTCGTCATCTGGAGCATTCCCTTTTTGGTCGGGAGGTACCGTAGGTCAAAGCAAGTCGCCGCGCAGGTAGACTGGCTATGAATGCGGACGCGGTCCGTAATGCTGCGTTGCCCGAGCCAGTCTCTCGAGCGACCAGAGCCTCAATTTGCAGTGAGTGTCTTGCGTCACCGCGCTGGACTTGTATATCCCGACCACCAACTCCCACGATAATTTGACCCCTGCCAAGGTCGTTCAGCACGACCGGGAAGGGTCCATTCTAGCCGCCCCAGTCGTCTTTCGTAGATGCGGAGCGATGATAGTCAACCAGCTCTCCTTCGTTGCAATAGAGTTTACCAATGACGGTCGTCTTGGTCCGTATTTCACGGCTTGTCTTTGCTATTGCAGTGGCTTGTGTAGTCGCCTCAATGCTCACCCGTCAGATAGTCTGTTCTCGAACATGATCGAATGTCTCCGTCTGTTGTTCGTGATCTAGAACATGCGAGACAGCAAATCAGCCGAACTGTGCGCTGTATGGAGATACGTGGTTAAAGAAGGTAAACGCATTGGCGGCAAATGAAGCATGATGCAATAGTCGGGTGAACACAAGTGGTATGTCTAACCGGTTGAGTTTAGCCTCCACGACGTGAAGTATGTGTCGTCATCTGCCACTTCTGGTTTCAACAGTGGTAGTGCGTTGTCCGCGCGCACGTATCCTTCGCTCAGCGCCCTTTACCTTAAGGACTGCCTTCGCGGTGACATTATTGAGAGCACCTTCTCCGTCGGAGTATAGTACTTTGGCAGGCCCGAATTGCATCCAGCACAGATGGTACGCATTTAAGATGTAGGTCACAGTTTTGTCTGGTATCTCGATTCCAGCACCGTATCGAATGCAACGGCCGAGTATATGAAAAACATGGTGATCCTGTTTGTAGAACATCAAGTCGCATTCGGCTTCAGGATTGAACTTTCCATGTAGTGCGTTGGGCGGCACTATAGTATGTCCAGGTTTTGTTTTCCCACGCCCTGCTCTCCCGGCGTGTGTCACAGACGCCTTTTTTATCAGGCTTAAACTAACGCTGTCCAGACCAGCCTTGGTTGAGACGAGTATCATATTAGGCTCCTCGGCGTGGAACCATCGCAGATGCAGTTTTCGCAACTCGCGTGCTACCACCCCGGGGCCAAGGCTGCGTAGGTTCTGTATACTGAACTGTACGTCAGACCTTGACCAGTCTGGACGCCTTGGAAGAGCAGCAGGGTCACCCGCGGGAGGTGGTGGTGGATCACGTCCCTGTTGTCGTCCACGTCTGGCTACTATTTGTGGTGATCGTCAATGGTCGACCGAACTACAGGGTCAGGGCTGGGGCCGAGAGGCCAGGTCCCGTTTGAAGTTTGTGCGGGAACCCTTCCAGAATGTCCTATGGGGTCTCGGACGATTCAGCCTGCCACGCACAAACATCCCAGACGAACCTCCTCCGCCTCCACGACGCCCAAGATGGCCCCCAGGATGGTCCCCAAGACGTCAAGAACCCCCAAAACTCAGGGTGGCCCCAAGATGCCTCCAAAACGGCCCAAGATGGACCCAAGACGACCAAAGATGACCCAAAGACGGCCCATGAGGCCGCTGAGACGCTCCTGAGTGGCCCAAGAGGACCTGAGGCTACCAGTATGCCAGAAATCTGTGATTTCTTGCTTGAAAATGTTCGGCATCTGACCCTTTCGGGCTTCCAACGCCGCAAGACGGCCCGAAAGGCATCCAGAATAGAGCCAAGACGGCCCCAGAAGCCCCCAAGGTGAAGGCAACCAAAGCCACCCGCACACTCACGACATGACAGATTGTGTGTTCGAACACTCTTCCTGGGGCTCGCGGCCCAGCGACCGACCGCCGTGAACTGCGCGTGCCCCGGTCCTGTGCTCTGGTCGAGGCCCCTCGCCGAGCAGCGGGTCACCTCGCTATTCATAAAACCAACAAGTTTGCATGACAACCCAGAGCTTCCTTATAAACCTATCACGCGCCAAATTCCCCAGAACATTGCTCATATCGCGTCTTCGCGCACATGCAGCGGCGCAATTATAGAAGCGGAAACGCGAATAAAAAAAAGCGCGAAGGCGGTTTTGTACACACGACAATCGCTGTTCGTAGAATTGTTTGCAAAATCAGCCTCGCGGCGATTTGTGATGGTCGCAGTGGGAGCGCGACGACCGCATCAACCAGCGTCCCAAAAGATGTAAAAGTCGAACTGGTGGGTGTGGGGGCGGGCTGTTCCCTGTGGGCAACAAGACCCCAATTTGAGCCAAGAGTGCCCCACGACGAGCCCAAGAGACCCCCAAGACAGACCCAACAGGGCTCCAAGACGGCCCCAAACACTTCCAAAACGGCCCTGAAGCGACCCAAGAGGGCCCGAAGACGGCCCAGAGAGACCCAACGACTGCCTCCGCTGGCCAAGAGGCCCCCTAGCGGCCCCCAGAAGCCCCAGAGAGGCCCCCCTATCTGCCCCCGGAGGCCGCAACGAGGCTCCTCGGAGGCCTCTGCGAGACCCCTCGGAGGCCCATAGAGAACTCACCCTTATCATCGCACAGCCTTCCCTTCCCTCCTCCTCCGCCTCCTCTCCGAACTCTCCCATAGCGGGCTTTCACATCGGCTGAGGGAATACATTGTCTAATAGCTTGGCCAGGTGTTGGCCGAACGTGTGGCAACATACGCCGTATGCAGATTCGATAACTCGACATCTAGCTTCAACAACAGATATCCATGTCTGCGTGTCTTTATGCACGGAGGTACAAGCACATAAACTCGCGTGCAATGATGTGCACATACTTATGAATGCAACGCCTTAGCCCCACATCTGCACGTGCACCGATGCAACGGCCGACCTGTTCAAGACAACGGACAACCACAATATGCACACAACCAATAAGTGGAAACACATCCAACAATGGGACAACAGAGAAGAAGCGGAAAGGAAGGCCAGGATAACCGTTTGGAATACTGCAAGTCGGAGACGCTGCTCGAATCCGTGCGTACACATACACACGTGGCCACGGCCAAGTGAATGTGACTACCGACCAGAATGTCCCCCACGATTTGGCTGACTTTGCCCGCCGAACAACCTCAGCAGGCGGCCAACACAATCACGCCACACGTGCTGATTCTCCGCTCAGTGCCTCGGAGCACTTGCCCTCGCTGAGGCTGAATACGGTGGGGGCATTAGATAAGGAACCCTTAGATCAAGAATCCAGGGTCTGAAAGCTGGTAAAACTCGAATCGTGTACCGGCCATGGATATCATCGCCGCCCTCATCAGATAAGGAACCCTCCAGGGTCTGAGGCGTCTTGGGAACGTTCCTTAACGAACGCCCCCACCGTATTTGACAAAGAACGCCGTGAGAGTGCGGCTGAAGCTAGGGTCGGCGTGCAATGGCAAGCCAATAGAACACACATCTATATTAAATGGGCGGCCAATGCCTGGCACGAAACAAGAAAAAATGGCCATGCATTGGCGGATATCCGCGGCGAGGCCTCAAGTAGGAAGGAAACAAACTCCAACCTTCCGCACCTCCTCATCCCCATCCGAATCCTCCTTCAAATCTATCAACCGTCCCTCGAACGGATAATCTTTGGCGTGCGGGCTCCGAGGGTCCTGGCTGGCAAGTGTCAGTCGACTCGAAAGAGCGCGGCACGCCATCGGATCATGACAGCGCTGCCCCCCCCATGATGAGGGCCTGGGCTTCTGTTGCTCCCATCGGACTTGAGGACCACATCCCAGAAATGATTTCGAGCACCCGGAAAGTATCGAAGAAATGTCGAGCGAGCATCGCCTCCCAGGGCCCGACGCGTGAAAACCCTCCATTGGGGGCCTCGAAATGGGCACCATCACCAGCACATGGGCTTGCCTCCACGTGGGGAAGGCGATCCTAGATCTCGGTGTTGGTGGCAATGTTTCGGTCACCTTGGAAGCCAGAATATTACGACCATCACCGAGATCAGGATCTTCTTCCCTCGGTGGAGGCACAACGCCGATATTGGTGTTGGACTCAACATCTAGGCCTGCGAATCCAGTCTCGGTACTTCTTGGTACTCGAGAAATTCTTTCTGGTGGTCAAGACCAAAACAACTGGAAAATCACAGCCTGGGCGCCACGGAACACGGAACCCCCTGCAGAGCCGCACTCGCATCAGCAGAGAGTTCGCGCGGCCGCCTCGGGTGCACCCCCCTCTTCTAGAGGGCGAAAAATCCACCCTGATTAAAACCACCCCGACATGCGAGGCCGTTTAGTGAACGCGCCCAAAGAAGAAATCGAGCAGGGCAAGGCTGTTGAGTAAACGCCCAAAGCCGTTCAGTAAACGCCAATTGTCCAGTCCGCGTGGGTTTTCCTCCCTTGATCTTCGTCCTCCCGCCCCGCCTGCTCAGAGGAGGAGCAGGAGGTGTCCAAGGCGGAGGCGGAGTGTGAGAAAGAGGACAAGGACGATCAGGAAAAGGACGAGGAGTGCGGGGACGTGGAGGAGCAAGGTGGTGAGGTGGCCTGCTCTCATTCTCATCCTTCTCCCACTCGTCGACTTCCCCCTCTTCCTCTCTCTCTCTCTCTGTCGTCCTCCTCTACACCCTCCTGCTCCTGTTCCTCCTCATCCGCCTCTCCCGCGAAAAGAACAAGGGGAAATATGAGGAGCAACAGGAGGACGAGCAGGATGGGAACGATAAGGAGCAGGACGAGGAGGAAGGTGCACTCATGCTAATCAGGCTGGCCAAAACCCCAACCATATGCAATTGCGAGCGCCGTCGTTGCAAGTATCGCCTTCTGTGGAGCCCCCTACGGAGCCACCAACAGCGTGAGGGGTGTATCGAAATGGGTGGGGCTGCCGCTTGCGAACATGGCCACTGGGGCCTTCGATGGAGCTTCCTGTGGGTGCACGAAGCTCGTGAGGGTTGTGCCGAAAGGGGTCGGGCGGCCGCATGCGAACATGGCCACTAGGGTCTTCGGTGGAGCTCCCGTTGGGAGACGAAATGTGTGAAGGGTGTACCGACATGAACGGGGGCAGACGCATCCGGACTGCGCCACTGAGACCTTCGGTCGGACTCCATGTAGGGCCATGACACGTGTGGGGTGTGTGTACCGGAATGTGTCGGGCGGACGCAGGCGGGCTGCGCCAGTGGAACCTTAGCAAGGGCTCCCTCTGTAGCCACGAAGCGTGTGAGGGTGCGTGCCGAAATACATGGTGGGGACGCATGCGGGCTGCGCCGCTGGGATCCGGACGTATGCTGGCTGCGACACTGTGACCTTCGGTGGGGTTCCATGTGGGGCCACGAAACCTATCAGGGGCGCGCCGAAATTCGCAGGGCGGATGCATGCGGGCTGCGCCGCTGGGAACTTCGGTGCAGCTCCCGGTGGGGCCACGAAGCGCGTGAGGAGTGTCCCGAAACGATTCGGGTGGACGCATGTGGACCCTGCCGTTGGGGCCTTCGGTGCAATTCCCTATGGGGCCACGAGGCGTGTAAGGGGCATACTGGCATGGGTGGAATGGACCGAGATGGACACGTGCGGGCTGCGCCACTTGGACCTTCGGTGGATCTCCCTGTAGGGCCACGATCCGCGTAAACGGTGTGCTGGAATGGGTGGGGCGGGCGCATGAGGACTGCGCCGCTGGGGCCTTCGGTGGAACTCTTTATGGGGGCACGAACCGTGTGAGGGGTGTACCGACATGAGTGGGGCGGGCGCGTACGGACTGCGCCACCGGGGCCTTCGATGGAACTCCCTGTGCAGCCACGAATCGTTTGAGGGGTGTCCCGAAATCTGGCGGGGGGACGCATGTGGATTGTGCCAATGGGACCTTTGTTGGAGCTCCACTATGAGGGCACGGAAGGCGTGAAACGTATGCCGACATGGGGCGTGGCGCCGCATGTGGACTGTGCCACGGAGACCTTCGGTGGAATTCCCTACGGGGGCACGGGCACGGAACGTGTGTGAGTGTGCCAGAATGGGGCGGGGGGACACATGTGGACTGTGCCACTGGGGCCTTCGGTGGAGCCCCATATGGGAGCGAAAACGCGCAAGCGTGTGCCAAAATGTGGCGGGGGGGGGCGCATGTGGACTGTGCCACCTGGGGCCTCCGGTGGAGCTCCCTATGGGGGCACGAAGCCTTGTAAGGGACGTACTGGAATGTGTCGGGAGGGCGCCACTGGGACCTTCGGTGGGGCTCCCTATGGGGCACGAAATGTGTGACGGGTGTGCCGAACTTGTTGGCACGCGCAGGGCAGAGGCAGGTATGGGAGGAGGCAGCAGGGGGGGAAGTGAAGAGGAACAAGGGGCGCTGTCTCTTCAAAACGAAGACCCAAAACTACAAGACGGTTGGGAAAAGTAGGGAACAACTCAGGAACAGGAGGACGACCAGGACGAGGAGGAGCAGGACAACAAAATAAGGCCCCCATCCCTCCTCCTCATCTTCCTCCGAAGGGCGCCTTTGGACCTCCCCGAATATGTGTCCTGAGCCAAATTCCGACGGGAATCCAGACGCAGCAACGAGAAACCTCCCGGGGATCCCAGAATCGTCGAATCTCGATCCTCTCCTCCTCTCCTCCTCCCCTTCCTGCGCATCCTCATCTTGCGATTCCCTCTCCTCCCCTTCCTCCTCTTCCTGCTCCTCCTCGTCCCCCTGCTGCTCCTCTTTCATTTGCTCCTTCTCCTCCTCCGCGCAGCTCGAACGCGACACTTGAGCAGGGGCCGACCGTCCCAGCAATTCTTTAGTCATACCACGAAATGTTCTTAGAATCCAGAAATGTTCTAAGAACAACAACAATGTTCTTAGAACACAAACCCGATGTGATAAAACAAAACAGGCTCCGCCATACACGTTCTAAGAATATGTTGTGGAAACCACAAAAGATTCTTAAAACATTGTTTGGTGGGACTATAAGCGAGCCGGGACGCTTCGCCACTGCTTGAGACACAGCAGGGCAGCTCACCGGCGCATCAACCTTCGGTCCTGGCGGGGCGCAGCCGCTCGCTTGGCCAGCGCGCCCCGCGCGAGCCGGCCGGCCCAGCCGGTCTGGGCGACGACGACGACGACGAGGGCAACGAGGACGACGAAGACGACGACGACGACGACGACGACGAGGACGACGAGGACGACAACGACGACGACTATGACGAAGACGACGAGGACGACGAGGACGTGGACGACGCGGGCGACGAGGACGACGACTACGACGAGGGCGACGCGGAGGACGCAGGGCAGGAGGAAACAGGAGAACGGAAGAAGGATGGACGGCTTCTCGGACCCTGGCCCGTCCCATGATGGGCCTGTTTTCCACCGCCACCACCGCCGCCATAAATTGGAGGGGGAAGGGGTCCTCCTCCACCTCCCCCTCCTCCTCCTCCTCCTCTTCCAATTCGTTCTCCTCCTCCTCCTCCTCCTCCTCCTCCTCTTCGTCCCTTTCCTCCTCCTCCTCCTCCTCCTCCTCCTCGCCCTCCTCCTCCCCCCCTCCAATGTATGGTGGCGCCCGCTGCGGGGGGCGGGCCGTGGACCCCCCCCCCCACTGGCGCGCTGAGCGCGCCAGGAGGAAGAGGGGGAGGCGGAGGAGGAGATGGAGGAACCCCTAAGAATATCTGGGAATCCCATGACCGCGCGGCGATGGACCGCGCGGCGACCTAGGAGCTCCACGAAACATCACCGCGCGGTCCGTCACCGCGCGGTCTTCGGGCCCTCGCTATAGAACACTTCACAAGCCATCCTCCCCAATGAATCATTCGGACCAAAAATTCTTGCGGAGGGAATCCGAAAGCCCTCTGGGGAGTGAGACGTTCAGGGCGCATGCTCTTTCATCGCCCCTGGAGCGAGAAGCGGCGGCAGCAGCGGCGGCGACCCCGCGGGCGAGATGCGCGCGCTGAGGTGCGGCTGCGGGGCAGCGGCCCTGCCAGAGACTCGGGCACAGGGTCCGCTGCGGCGGGCCTCGGCGCGGGGGCGGCGGCGTCAGCCCGCCCGGCGCCAATCCGCGGCGTGCGCGCTGCTCGCCGCCCGCCGCCCGCCGCCCGCCGCCCGCCGCCGCTGCCGCCTTTGCCGACGACCACCGCGATGACGACGCCGCCGCCGACGACGCCGACGCCGACGCCGACGATGACGCCCTCTTCCCCTTCGCGGAGGGGTTGGCTTTTCTGCGCAAATAAACACTATCTCCCCCAGGCAACCGACAGCCAACCAGGACCGATGAGGGCCCCCCCCACCATCCCTGTCAAAGAAAACAATGTGGAGTCCACGTTGGAGCAAAATCTGGGGTCATGATCGGGTAGGGGCGTGATCACCTTGCACAGTTTATTAAATTACCCCAGTGCGACCCTACCTAGAAGTTGGAACCCATAGGAAAGCAGCATTAGTTGTTATGCTGTGCTATGTTATGGCATGCCATGTTATGATGCGCTATGCTATGCTATGACATGGAATACTATGCTGCGCTATGCTATGATATGCTATGCGATGCTGAGCTATCATATGACATGCTGCGCTGTGCTCTGCTCAACTATGATATTATAAGATGTGTTATCGTATGATAAATTGCGCTATGCTATGCTATGATATGCTATGTTATGCTATGATATGTGATACCAAGCTATGCTAGACTAGTCAATACTATGCTGTGTTCTGCTATGCTATGCTATGCTGCGTTGTGCTATGATGTGCTGTGCTTTGCTGCGCTGTGCTATGCTATGCTATGCTGCGCTATGCTATGCTATGCCGGGCTATGCTATGATATGCGATGCTGCGCTATGCTATGCTACGCTATGCTATGCTGTGCTCTGCTATGCTAAAGCTCTGCGAAACTAAAATGAAGGTGAGCTAAGCTAAGACAAACCTGTGGTAACATGAAGCTAAGCTAAGCTACGATGAAATAGGCAAAATTAATATGACATAAGAAACGCGAAGCTAAGGGAACGTGACTTGGGGAACCGCGGGGCGGATTCTGGGGGAACCGCCCGGGGCGAGGACCACTGCCCGGCCCTTTAAGCAAACCGAGTAAGAACCCTTCTTGGCAGAGCCTAGGTAGGGAATAAGCTGAGCTAAGATGAGATAAGCAACGCGAAGCGAAGGGAACGCCACTGGGGGAACCGCGGGGCGGATGCCGGGGGAACCGCCCGGGGCGAGCCCCACTGCCCGGCCCTTTGAGTTTTGCTATGTTATGCTAAGCTGCGCTATGCGATGCTATGCTATGCTAATGCAGCGCTGCGCTCTGCTAAGTTGAACTGAGCTAAGCTACGCGAAGCTAACCCTCTAAGCAGAGCCTAACGTAGGGAATTACACCCATGCTATGATGTGCGATGCTGCGCTATGCTATGCTACGCTATGCTATGCTATGCTGTGCTCTGGTATGCTAAAGCTCTGCGAAGCTAAGATGAAGGTAAGCTAAGCTACGATAAAACTGAGGTGATATGAAGCTAAGCTAAGGCACGATGAAATAAGCTAAGCTAAGATGAGATAAACAACGCGAAGCTAAGGGAACGCCACTAAGGGAACCGCGAAGCGGATGCCGGGGGAACCGCCAGGGGCGAGCCCCACTGACCGGCCCTTTGAGTTTAGCTATATTATGTTAAGCTGCGCTATGCGAGGCTATGTTATGTTATGTCATGTTATGCTATGCTATGCTTGGCTATGCTTGGCTATGATATGTTATGCTAAGTTATGTTAATGCAGCGCTGCGCTCTGCTAAGTTGAACTGAGCTAAGCTCAGTTAAGCTAACACTCTAGGCAGAGCCTAGGTAGGGAATTACACCCATGCTATGATCTGGGATGCTGCGCTATGCTATGCTAACTGCATGCCGATGATAATAAAGGGACCCCCCCCTTCAGTGTTTAGAGTTGATTATCGTCGCCCTATACAAACTTCAAATTGGGCGGCGAGCGCTGAGGCCGAACTTCATTATCACCTCGAAACGCTATGTTGAGATAGCAACATCAAGCGATGTTGATATAGCAACATCAAGCGAAGCGATCACACTTTTTCAGGATGTGTCAAGCGAAACCAATAATTTTGGGAGGCAGACTCAAACGAAACGAGCAATGTTCTTATTATTCTTCTACTTTCCTCTTCTTCTTTTATATTTCTATCTGTCCTCACGCTCGCCTGAACTTTTTTATCCCTGGGGTTGATTATCCATGGGAAATGAAGCACATGAGCTACCCTACACGAGCACTTAAAACAATCAATTTTCATAAAAGCGTTTGTAAATTAAAATTGATAGATTTGGAACTTTGGATTTTTCCTTTATTCGTCCTCTTCTTATTCTCCTCTCTTCTTCTTCTTTCTTAGTATTATTCTACTGTATTGTTCTTCTTTTATATTTCTCTCTGTCCCCACGCTCGCCTGAACTTTTTTTATCTCTGGGGTTGATTATCCATGGAAATTGAGGCACATGAGCTACCCTACACGAGCACTTACAAAAAACAATTTTCATGAGAGATAAGCAATTGTTGAGGATATTTCTATGAAAACTAAACGCCAAGGATGTCTCAAAACGTGCTCGGCTTGGTCTCCTCTGGATCATCTCTTACTTCGAGATTATGCTGAGGTCTGCTGGGCCACTTTTATTATCTCTCCCTGAACCCCGAACTTTATTATCCCCTAGTGTTTATTATCACGGGCATGAGGTTACGCTATGATATGCTATGCTGTGCTCTGCGATACTGAAGCTCAGCGAAGCTAAGATGAAGGTAGGCTAAGCTAGGATAGAAATGAGGTAAGATGAAGCTAAGCTAAGCTACGATGAAGTAAGCTAAGCGAAGATGAGATAAGCAACGCGAAGCTAAGGGAACGTCACTGGGGAAACCGCGGGGAGGATGCTGGAGGAACCGCCTGGGGCGGGCCCCGCTGCCCGGCCCTTTAAGCCTCCGAGTAAGAACCCTGCTAGGCACAGCCTGGGTATGGAAAAAGGTAATCACCTTGCGCTGTCTGTTAAAAAAGGCAGCGGGGGTGCCCGCGCATTGCCTGCTGCGCGCAGGGCCACCTTCCCTGACGAAAAAAATCAATCATAACAAATACGCTTCGGGGCAAAATCTGGATCCTGCGCGCGCACCCCGCGAACACTGCGCATTGGTTTTTGACTGGAACGGCGGGGGTGCTGGCATGTTGTCTGCTAGGGGCGAGCCCACCAGACGCTATGATGGCCGCGCCGCCGCGAACGTGCACTTGTTTTCGACAAGGGCGGCGGGGGGCAACGCGTTTCCCGATCTGCCGCGTGCGCAGGCGCACCTGGCACACCCTGCGCGTGCTCCGAACGTGGCGCACCTGGCGCGGCTGGGACATGTGGCACACATGGCTCGCGCGGATCACGTGGCGCATCTAGCGCACCGAGCGTGCCCTGCACGCTTCGGCCCCGGGGTTGCCTGGGGCACCGCGTGGCGGGCCTGGCGCGCCTGGTTCACTTCGCCCTGGCGTTGCGCACATAGGGTCTGTTTTGGTTCCCGTGCGCTGTCCATCCGAAGACTACCGCTGAACGCGCTGCGGCTCGGGCGCTACTTACGCCCTGGGAAGGCGGGCGAGAGTAAGGCGGCTTGCGGGCGGGAAGGGCGCGTTGATGACTGTTCCCTGTGAATAAACACCCCCTCTCTGAGGCGACCGGCAACCAACCAGCACCAATGAGGGCGCCCACCCGACCACCCCTGTCAAAACAGTGTGAAATCCACATTCGGGCAAAATCTTAGAACAATATCGTGGGGGACGCAAGCGCTTTGGACTGGTCTGCGACGGGGG